GAACAAGAAGGTGGTTGCACATCCCATCAGTTACATGCTCCTTGCAAGGTAGAGCTGCCACTCTTCATCTGCCCCTTACCTTTCCCCGAGGAAGAGTTTGGTCTGGCTTCTCCAGCCACCACCCCCACAGGCATCCCAACTCCAGCCCTCCTCTCCTTCAGTAAATACTCAATTCCCAAGCTGTCTGAGCTTTAAGGGTGTTTTCTTCCTCTCCCTGTGCGAATTCCTACCTAGAAACACCCAGAGACTTTTCCCTCTCCACATACCTCTCTGTTTTATCACCAACTGAAATTGCCAGCTTCCTGGGGAACACAGAGCAGATGGTCCAGCCCTCATGTCAGACATTTACCAAGCAAGGAGCTTCAAGGTCAGTGGAAGAGGCAAAAGACACATGGTGTCTTCAAGCTTCACAGCTCATTTTCTTGGTGCGTTAGCAGAAGTCACCTTTGATGTGGAGCAAAGCACAGGGGAGGAAACCTGATCCCCAGAATGAGTCAGAGCACAAACTTTATATATTGAACAAAAGAAAAAGCATAAAAGACAACTGAAGCATCCAACCATCATGTTCATCCAACACAAACCTAGCATCTTGCTAGGACAAGAGTTTTACCAGCTACAGTTTCGAAATGAGGGTGAGTGAAGATGGTACCTGTCAAAGATCACCCTCTAGTGACTGATACCGGCATTTCTTTGGCATTTCAAACTTTGCTACGATCTCTATTGTTTTCTACTTTTGCTCTTCTGGTGAGGTCCCAATGCTGCGAGAGCCTCGGTGTGCTCAACCCAAGCAGAGAAGCCTTAGCAGCCATTCATTTGTTAGTCTGATATTAAATCACGTCAAGTGAATCTGTCTTGTACACATTTTTAAGGCAGCTTTGCAGTTCAAATCAAAAAAAACCAAACAAAAACACTTTAAATACCAAGTGGAAAGGATTAAACATTTATTTACATACAGATACATACGTAAGCAATTTCTAAGTATAAAAAGGACATTACAAATTAACATGAAGCATCATACATTCATCATCCTGGTCATCCAAAATACATTCCTTTCTCAACCCCACTGTACCACACTTGACCACAAGAACTTAAAACACAGAGAAGCCAAATGCTTTTGACAGTCAACGATTCACAGTTTGCCGATTTGCTAACACCTATACCCTTCCCAAAGGCAGCACCACCCCAGCAACTCGAGATCAATGGTCTGACCAGATGTAGTGCATTTTCTCCACTGAAATGGTTGTGCTTGATCAATGAGAAACACATCCTCTTCTCATCCTTCTGGCCACGTGTTTAGGAATCAGGGTCCCGCTAAAATTCTGTACATTGTGCTAAATTCACAATTGTTGGGGAAATGACAGCAGACCTTTGTGGGAAAAACTCCAACCCAGGAAATTCCTTTAATGCTGTGACTTCCCTGGCATGGAAGTTGCAAACAAAATGCTGCTTTTAGTGCTTAAGCAGGTTTTTAAACTACAATTCAAACTACAGTTGATGGTATAAAACACACTTTGCTCATGCTGTAAAAAAAAAAAATGACGTGCCTCAATATTGATTTGCTAGTAATCAAAGCTGAGAGTAATTCAGGTTTTCTCCTGAGGAAATGAAGATACCTTTATAACATCTCTGAATATGATCATAGCTTTCAGGAAAGAGGAAGTGTTTTAGACTCAAAAACCTGAAGGTAATGCAGAGCACAACGAACTTGTCAGTTAGATAACATTACAAAGGGAAACAAGCCAGTAAACATAAATTAAAATGCCTACTCAAAGTATTAATGAATTCAAATGAGAGCGGGGTGAGTCTTTCTGTATAGATCAAAGGCAGTTTGAAAAAAAATCTCATGATCTGCAAATTCACAGAACAGCCAAATACGTGCAGCAGAACAGAGTGAAGTGGAAATAAAAGACGAGCAGAAAGAGCCTTGTCCCATATTG